GATGGGCTTTATATTTTTCCTAAAAGCTTTGCTGCCAAAGCTCCTAAGGGATTCTCTCTTCCCCAGGACTATTTGTAAAGAAAAGCTGAGAGAAATAAGCAAGTAAAGCACATCAAGTAGCTGCAACATTATAACAATTAAAAATTTCACAAGTTAACAGTAACATTTCTCAAAAATTTAGCAGACTTCCAAATCTGCCTTTGACCAATATGGGAAAGACTATACTAATGAGATGTGCAACTTCCAAACTTGTCACTTTGGGGAAAGGTTTATAGGAATATACCTTATAACAATTATATATTTTATAAATAATATCTAGAAATAGCTCATGAAAAATACTTAGGAGGCCTATTCTTGTAAAGCTAAATTTAATTACTGCTACTTCAACTTGGATGAGCAGAAAAAAAACAGGCCATAATAGCATAAACACCATTTTAAATAAAAATGGAAACTAAAGTATCTTAATGTGTACATAGTTTTTTTTCTTAAGAAAGGCAGAGTTACATTTTTATAAATATTGAAATGAACAGATCTATACAGAGAAATCTATCTTCTCAGATGTTTTTCATTTTATAGTATCTACAGAATAAATATTCCATAAAAAGTGACATATTCCCTTCACGGAAATAAATAAAGAGGCAAAAAGCCCAGAGGCATGCCTCAAATTCTGTTACTTTTTTTTCCCCCCTTAATAAGCGCCAGAACAAATTTCCTGCCATTTAAAAATACGGAAGAAAAGATGTGTGCAATGTAAGAGGATCACTATTAGGTCACATGCGAAAAGAAAATACTTTAGATTCTCAAAGTAAGGTCTCAGTTTTAAAAACCCACGGAAGTTAAAACAAATTTTAAACAATTCTAAGTACTGCACACCTCTTCCCAAGAAGGAAAAAAAAATGTGTAGCCCAATAAGAAATACTGCAGAACTCAAATAGCTTCAGAAATGCAGAAGAACCAGCAGCTCTGCCACCTTCCATACATCAGTCAAGTTCCTTGGTTATATACATGCCTTTCATTTGCAGAGCCATGAAGGTACTTCTCTCCCCTGCCACTCACTGTGTCTTACTGTAAACATGCACATACACACAGCAGTCTCAATCATTAACATAAATCATAATTACTTGGGTTATAACTGTTACAAATGCAAGGACAGGTCTCTTTCATTTGGGTGGCTGATTCAGTCACTTTGGGATGGGAACAGTAGCATCCCTTACATCCCCAACCTACATCTTCTTTACTTTCTTTTTTTTTTTTTTTTAAGATGTATTTATTATTATTGCAAAGTCAGATATACAGAGAGGAGGAGAGACAGAAAGGAAGATCTTCCATCCGATGACTCACTCCCCAAGTGATGGCAAAGGCCAAAGCTGAGCTGATCCAAAGCCAGAAGCATGGAGCCTCCTCCGGTTCTCCCACACGGGTGCGTGGTCAAGGCTTTGGGCCATCTTCAATTGCTTTCCCAGACCACAAGCAGGGCGCTGGGTGGGAAGCAGGGCTGACAGGGATTAGAATTGTGTCCATATGGGCCACCAAACTACATTTTAAATATGCAACCCAGACAGCTTTTTCATACCCAACATCACCAGGAAAAACTAGTCTCAAAAGTTCAATGATCTGGGGTAAAAAGGGGTAAGGCCACAGCCAGCAATGCCAGCATCCCACATGAGTCAGTTGCTCCACCTCTGATCCAGCTCCCTGCTAATGGCCTGGGAGAGCAGTGAGGAATGGTCTAAAGTGCTTGGACCCCTGCACCCACGTGACATACAGAAAAAAAGCTCCAGGCTTCTTTCTGGCTTTGGCCTGGCCTAGCCTTGGCCTTGCTTACCTTCAATAAGGTTTAACTTGGAGTTACTTACAGTATTTTTGACTTAACCGCTTAGATTTTCATCTGGAAAATGCAGGGACAAAGAGTTTCCTTATCAACTGTGCTCCACCAGCGCTGTGGTACAGCAATTAAAGCCACCACTTTTGACACTGGCCTCCTAGATACAAGCCAGTTCAAATCCCGCTGCTTTACTTCTGATCCAGCTCCCTGCTAATGTGCCTGGAAAAAGCAACAGCAGATGGCCCAAGCACTTGGGCCCCTGTACCCACAAAGGAGACCAGAGCCCCCACAGGCTCCTGGTTTCTCACCTGCCCAACTCTGGCAACTGCAGCCACTCCAGCCATGAACCAGAGGAGAGAAGAATGCTCTTCTCTCTCCCACTCTCTAATACTAATTTTTAAATAAATAAATAAGTCTTCAAAACAAAACAAATTGTGCTTCACTCCCACACTACAGACTCAAGATTTTCAGTCTGTTCTTTCCACAGGACCATTCTCTGGTCAGCAAGTTCAAGGTGAGACCCTCAGTGATTCTAAATGGAGCAGGGCAAGGAGGACGCCTGAGCTGAGTTCTGGATGGCGATCTGTGCTGAGGACCTCTGGGGAGAACACCCAGAGGGCAGAGACCTTTCCTTGGACTTCCGAGAGTCAAACACCCGAACAATGGGGAGCACTGCTGTATGCACAGCGAAAGAGTGACAAGAATGTCAGGGAGCAGTTGGAGAGAAAAAAGTTGGAACTGTCATTAAACTGTATGAGGTGTTACTTAGAAGCATCATAGCTAATTTCACTTTAAATGCAGAACTAAACTTAAAGCTGAAATTCCCTCTAGATCCACTCTGGGAAAGCTTTTTGTGGATCTGGTAAAAAGCCTCCACAACAGGAAGCACTAAGCTCATTGCACTCTCAGAATTCTATGGAAAGCCACGAAATAAGGAATGACTTGTGGCTGAGTTCATGCATCTTCAAATCAGATGTCTTAAGAGTGCTTTACCAAGGAAGTCCCCCAAATCTTCTTAAATGGTGAAACAATTTCCTCTAAACCACTCAGTGTACTTCATAAGCTTGAATTCTAGTCATAAAGAAAATGGCTATAAAACATCCTCATTTTGCAATAAGAAAAAGTCAGACTTAATAGATTAAGTTGGTATAACAGAAAGAGTACAGATTGTCTACCTATGCAGATTTAGGTTCAAATCCCAATTCTACCACTTTAAAACACTTAACTGAGGTCTCTAGTTCATCTTAGCATTTATAGAAGTGGTAACTGAAGTTATTATCCAAAACTATAGTTGTATAACAGAAAATAGTAAACAAACAAACAAAGAGCCTAATCCTTTGAACTTGCAAGTCTAAAACTACCAAACTTCTACAGACAAGAATATATTTTGGGGCCCGGCGCGGTGGCGCAAGTGGTTAAGGTCCTCGCCTTGCACGCCCAGGATCCCATATGGGCGCCGGTTCTATCCCGGCAGTCCCGCTTCCCATCCAACTCCCTGCCTGTGGCCCGGGAAAGCAGTCGAGGACGGCCCAAAGCTTTGGGACCCTGCACCCGCGTGGGAGACCCGGAAGAGGCTCCTGGCTTCAGATCGTCATAGTATCGGCCGTTGCGCTCACTTGGGGAGTGAATCATGGGACGGAAGATCTTCCTCTCTGTCTCTCTTCCTCTCTGTATATCCACCTTTCCAATAAAGAAATAATAAAAATAAATCTTTTTTTAAAAAAAGAATATATTTTGGTGTTTGTAACTATCAGGAGTGGTTTAACAAGAATACTTTCAACCTACCCCTAATTCCTACTTCTCAAATGGGGCTTCTATTCCTCAGATAGCCTTCCAGGAGCCCTGTTACTTCCTCACCTTTGTCTTTCAAATAAATACAAAATAAACCTTTAAAAAAATGCACCTACTACTATGTTCAAACATACCTCTTTTCTTCAACACCTCTCCCAATCTTCCTTCTTAAAAATATTTCTCCTTCAGCCCTAATACTTTCCCTAGATCTTTGGCCTAACATCAGCCAAGAAGCTACTTACACAAAAACTTTCTGGTTTGCAAAGACTTGCCTGAACCTTAATTCTCATGCACATTTGATCTTGGAGTAACTATTTAGATACACAATGCCTACTGCTCTGTCTTGAGCAAAGACTGAAGACACCAAACTAGAAATTGGCCTGAAATTGGTCTGCAGCTCAAATTTTCCGATTCTGATTTCAATACTCTCTCTACTCAACTTATAAAGCTGCTATTTGTGACATATTCCTTCTTTCTACCGTTTATTCATTAAACATGGTATAAACTATCCCTGCACCTTGGTGTCCCCAAAGCACTGTTCTAAAGAACCACTTCCTACGGGACTTTTTAAAGTTCATCAGTTCAGGCTACTCCATGACAGTGACGCCAAAAGTTACTTTCAGTGCTTTTTCTCTGCAGTTTTCCAGTGAGAAGGAATCCTGGAGTGCTACATGAAAAATGCCCAGAGTCCCCGGCCACAGTCCCCCTCCACGCCTTCTCTATCTGCCCTCTTTCCTCCTTTGCAAGTGTGTGACATCCCAGCCGGAACGCATCACAACCACAAACGACCCTAAGACGTCGAAAGGACTCCGCGCCCCACACTGTCTTCCTTGCCAGGCATGGCATAAGCTCCTCGGAATATTCACGAGTGTCTCTCCTCTTTACCCACACTATTTGTCTGAAAAATTTCACATTTCCGAGCCTGCCCTCTTCCAGCATCCTCCCATGCTCACCCGCGTACCTCCTCCTAAACCTTTTAGCCTCCAGGGTTGGCGGGAGATACTTCCTACTCCAGGGTCGCGAGCACCTGGCCGACAGCTCGTCGTTCCGGTGCGGCCAGCAGATCGAAGCCTCTTTTTGGTACTCTCCGACCCCTGAGACCCCCTTTGGGATCTCCACGAGCCGGAGGCCCTTCAGCTCCGTCCCTGCCCCGCCTCCCCGCCCTAGGCGCCAAGTCCTCGGGGCTCGGTCTCCAGGCCTGGGCCGGACTCCGAGGGCCTCGGACGCTGCGGGGATGACGGGAACGGGGCTGCACGGCACTCAGGAAACCGGGCACACCGGGCGCTCGGGCCAGCAGGCTCCGGGCCCGGCCGGGTCCCGGATCCCGTGGCCCGGACTCATCCCTCCGGCTCTGCCGGCCCGCGCCTTCGCGGCCTGCCCCTACCTGATCCAGGTTCTCGTCACTGCCGCTATCCTCTGTGTCTGAGTCGATCACGACGCGGCCTTTCCGCTTCTTTACCATGGTGGTCCCCCGGCTCCCACGCCGGACGCCGCCCGGACTCCCCTCTTGCCCGCCTGCCAGTGGGACCGCCACTGCCGCTGCCGCCGCCGCCGCCGCTCGACCCACACAAAGGCGACCGCGCATGCGCGCTCCGCTCCGCCCCTGGCTCCGCCCCCCGCCCGGCGCACGCCGTTCGCCAGAGCCTTTCGCCCCGCCCCGTCGCACCCCCGACGCAACGTGGGAGGCGGGGCCACGCGCCTGGCGGAGTTCCGGGTGGAGGACAGCAGTGGCTTGCTGGCGCGGGGAGGGCAGCGTTGCTTGTGCCACCCGAGCTAGGTAGACTGCTTCGCTGTTCTAGACTGGAGTCTAAAAGACTCGAGTTCGCTCCGAAGAGGCTCTTGCGTCTCCAACGTTTCGACTGTCAGAATGATGAAGTGTGTAGAGCGGCTTCCGAGGCCGCCCCCTGGAAGACACCTGCCGCCCAGCCGCCAACCTGAGTTGTGGAAATGACATCTGCGGAAAATGCGCCTGAGTTGCTTAGCAGACGAATAGAGTAAGATTGTAGCAAGCAGACAGCAGCGTGGACAAAGGCCCCAACAATAACAAAGTTGGTTCATGGAACAGACAGTTCATTATAGCTGGAGCGGAGGGTGTAGGGATCAGAGGGAGAAGACCTGGGTGAGATGCTGCAGCCACATCCCTCAGAGCCTAGTTAGCTCTATTAGAGAATTTGAACAGTAGTCCTAAAATACTTTAAGCTGAAGAACGAAAGGGCGGAAGTTTACGCCGTTAACTCTTGCTACACCATGACTAACAGAGGGAGGGAGACCGTGGGTGGGGGGGATAGTTGGGCTGTTGATGTTTTCCTAGCTGTAGATTATGGTGTGCAGAGCCAGGGAAGAAGGAATGGGGATGGGGAGAAGCAGGTGGGATATGGATTATTCAGGAGGCAAATCCTGCAGTTTTCCGATGTTAGTTGGGGGAGGAGTTAGGAAGGAGAGGCCCCAGACATGGATCATATTCAGCTCCTCACTTAGAGCCATTCATCAGACTGGAAAGCAGTAACACATAGACACACACAAAGAAGAAGGTTTGAACGACTGGTGGTTGAAGGAAACAGTCCAGTTTGATCCTTGCTGAGTTTGAGGTCATCTGGTAAAGTTCATTCCAGAAGTGATTTCCTTGTGGCCTATGAAATACAGGGTAGAGGGCATAAAAAATAGTATATTGAGAGTGATGTCAGAACTCTTTATTCTGATTGAGGATAATGTGACTTGAAGATTTTCTGCCTTATATTGGTGAGAAGACAATTGAGTAGAAACCATATTTGAAGGTTTGATTTTTTTTTAATTTTTTTTTAAAGATTTATTTATTTTATTACAAAGTCAGATATACAGAGAGGAGGAGAGACAGAGAGGAAGATCTTCCATCCGATGATTTATTCCCCAAGTGAGCGCAACGGCTGGTGCTGTGCCGATCCAAAGCCAGGATAGAGGAACTTCTTTCAGGTCTCCTATGCGGGCTCAGGGTCACAAGGCTTTGGACAATTCTCTACTGCTTTCCCAGGCCACAAGCAGGGAGCTGGATGGGAAGTGGAGCTGCCGGGATTAGAACTGGCACCCATATGGGATCCAGGTGCTTTAAAGGCGAGGACTTTAGCCACTAGGCCACTACTCTGGGCACAGAGAAATTTTTTATCAGCTGATTTATTCCCTCAGTGCCCACAATAGCCAGGCCTGGGCTGAGCCAGGTTGAAGCCAGGAATTCCATCCAAGTTTCCCTCATGGTGGCAAGAATCCAAGTACTTAAACCATGATCCTCTGCCTTCCAGGGTATATAACAGGAAGCTGCTCAAACGTTGAAGCAAGGCTCAGTCCCAGGCATTCCAGTATGGGATGTGGGCATCCCGAGTGGGGTCCTAACCTGTTATACACCAACTCCTTTTTCATGTTCCTCTTGGCTTATGATGCTGCTTTCTCGAGGTTTTGTTCTTACCCTTGGGGCTTCTCTTTCTCAAGCTGTCCCAGTTTTCTCAGGCTGTCCTTTGAATTTCATTTTTCCATTGCTGCAGTTTGAATGTCCCCTCTAAAACGCATATGGGGCAAGGAGCACTGTGGCATAGCAGGTAAAGCCAGCACTTATCTCCTGCATCCTATATGCTCAGGAGCTGCTCAATCTCCAGAGCAATGAGTCAAATACATAAACTTGTCTTGTGACTACTCTGCTTCTAATAGTCTATTACAGCAGCGGCAAACGAGGTAAAACTGTTTTCTCTTGTCACCCTGCAGACTCCTGTTTCCACATCTTGCCTGGCAGTCAGACGTATATTGAGCGGATGAATTATTGCCATTAGAAAGACCAGGGCCTGATACGAACCCCAGGACTATCTAACCAACCAGCTATCACCTGGTCTCCAGGTATGTCAGCAGATCTAGCACTTCTTCCCTCCCCTGTGCCCTACCATGCTCTCAGGTTAGTGTGCCCAAACTCATCTCCAAGCTGGCCTATTCTCTTTCACACCTCACATTAATCATTGTCCATCCAGTTCTCCAAACTTGCTCCCTGTTAACGCTCCCCAAACTGTCACTCATATGCTTCTGTAGCCTCCCGATTCTGTCTCCTTAGAGCTATGTCCCCTTCCTCCGGCCCCTTTGCTTAATGCTCTCTGCTGTGTGTATTATCTTAATCTCTTTATCTTATCCTAAGTCTCTGTGCATGTTTTGTTCCATATAATCATCATGTGGCTCATTTTTTAAAAGATTTTTTATTTTATTTTTATTACAAAGTCAAATATACAGAGAGGAACAGAGACAGAGAGGAAGATCTTCCATCCGATGATTCACTCCCCAAATGGCCACAACGGCCAATGCTATGCTGATCCAAAGCCAGGAACCAGGAACTTCGTCCAGGTCTCCCACACGGGTGCAGGGTCCCAAGGCTTTGGGCTGTCCTCAACTGCTTTCCCAGGTTACAAGCAGGGAGCTGGATGGGAAGTGGAGCTGCTGGGATTAGAACCAGCACCCATATGGGATCCCGGCGCATTCAAGGTGAGGACTTTAGCCACTAGGCCACGCTGCCGGGCCCCATGTGGTTCATTTTTGAGAGCATTTAAGGAGTTATGCCTGGCCATATTTCCCCTGTCCTTGGGCTTGATGTATAATGTACTTGGTGGCAGAGTATGGGCCAGACCACTTTCACAAGTGTTTCAAACTGCAGTGCAAATGTATCTTCAGGTCATGAAATCAATTTAGTAACAAGAAACCATTAATTTTTTTTTAAATTTCACATACACCAGCTAGAACTAAAGCCTAGTCTAATTGACCCCCAACAAAACCCACCAGACTCACACCCCATCCCTGGTTCATGTGCTTGCCAGTATGTGCAGCAGACTGGTCCAGTCTGTCCCACATCCCACTGAGCTGTCATACATATCAGTGGGAGTTGAAGTCCAGCTCATAACAGCCAACCCCACCATCCAGCCCACACTTATACAGGCAAGTACCACCAGCTGTTTAGCCAAGTATGCCCCAGACTTGGTTCTCATGTTTACTAATGGGAGTTGTAACCTGTCAGAGAGGTGCCGACATTTTCATCACTGGACCTACTCCCAGTCCTGAATCTTGCCTCTCACGGTGGTTCTGCAGTCTACTTTCACAATATTTGCCTGCCCTGCCGTTCCCTCACTTGCCAGCTGATACTTTGGCAAAGCCTAACCAGCCTGCTCTTACTCCGCCTATGCATGCAGCAATGGTAGTCTGTTAGCCCAGGCTGGCTCTCGCCCTAACCCACTTCACATGTAGGCCAACAGGTGCTATAGCCCTGCCCAACCTGTCAGCCCTGAATCCCAATTCTCACACTCAACAGTGAGATCGGTAGCCCAGCAGGAAAGCACATACACAGCATCCCTACGGGGAAACCACCTCCCACCTGGGTCTCCTGCCAATGGGTGCTGTAGCTTGGGTAAGCCCAGTCTGCCCCCAGTTCCACCTCATGCTGCTAAGTGCTATAGCTTAGCTCAGCCCAGCAAGCCCCTGTCTCAGCTCTAACGTGAACTGGCTGATGTTGCTGCCTAACTTGGCCTGCCCTGCACCCAGTCCTGTTTCTTGGATCTGTCAGCAGGTATTATGAACTGGCCCAGCGTGGCCCACCCCAGACCTGATCCACACATATGCCAGCCCTTTGGCCAGCAGGTACCATAACCTGGCCTGGTCTGGGCTGCTCCTTGCCTTGGTTCTTGTGCTCACCTACAGGGACTGCATCCTGACAGAGGAGTTTCCTAAGCTCCTCTATCAGGTCACCTCCCACTGGCACACCGGTGAGTCTTTGGCCCAGCCTGACTTAGTCCACTTCCTGTCCTGGCAGGAACAGTGGTCTTGCCCAACTGGCCCACACCCCATCTAGTTCCTATTGTTGGGTACTACAACCCAGCCATACCTGGTCCATGCCCAAACCCAGTTCTTGCATGGTTCAGCAGGTGCCAAGACCTAGCCCAGCCCATCCTGCACTCTCCCTGGCTCTCACAAGCACCAGCAGGTGCTGGAATTTAACTCAATCTGGCACACCTCAGGCCTAGTCCATACCCATGCTGAGGGACACTGCAGTCATGTCCAGCCCAGATTGCTGCCACCATTCCAGCTCTTGTGCTCACCAGTGGGAACCACAACCCAGCCAGGGCATCCCTTTAGCTCCTCAGCCAGGCCTGTTCCCAACCACAGATCTTGGCACATGCAAGAGGTTGCTCTGCCCCAGCTAGGCGTAGCCCATCCCTTGTCTTGACGTTTGTCATTGGATGCTGCAGCCTGGCTTGGCCTCTCCTGCCCTGAGTGCCAACTCTCACTGGTGGGTGCTGCAGCCTACCCCTGCCCAGTCAGCTCCCATCCCTGGCTCATGCAAATGGTAGGTGTGATAGCCTAGTCTGCCATGACCCACACTCCAACCTGGCTCCTACACATTCCAGTGAGCTAAGTTTGGCCTGGCCCTGTCTGTTTTTGGCCCTCTTCCAAAACCATTCCACACACATGCTGGCAGGTGAAGCTGCCCTGCCCAGCCTGACCAACACCTAGGCCTGAATCACATGCTCACCAGGGGGAGCTATGGTCCACCAGGGGAGTTTCCCAAGTTCCCCCACCAGGCCCACTCCCAGACCCAGATCTCACATGTGCTCACAGGTGCTAGCTAGGCTCTTACTAGGCATATTCTGTCCCCTCTATCCCAACCTATTCATGAGCTGCTGGATGTTGTGGCCCAGCCTACCCCTACACCCTATTCTTTGGTGTGCCTGTGGCTGCTACAGCCTGGACCAGTCTGGCCTGCTCCCAGCCCCAGTGTCCATGAGTGTCAGAGAGTTCCATGGTCATGCCTAGCTCAGCCAGTCACCACTCCCAGCGAACTCTTTTTTTACATTCTGACTGACTGTAGTAACTTTCTGCTATTATTAATAATTCAGCAGACTCAAATTTGCTTTCCACAGCAAGAGGTAGTGAATTGTTTCTTTTTTTTTAAAATTTATTTTTACAGAAGTTTTCATTTCTTTCAAATTGATAAATCCGCCTTTCCAATAAAAATAAATACATCTTAAAAAAAAAAAAAAGGACAGAGGGCCTGGCAGTGTGGCCTAGCAGCTAAAGTCCTCGCCTTGAACGCACCAGGATCCCATATAGGCTCCGGTTCTAATCCCGGCAGCTCCACTTCCCATCCAGCTCCCTACTTGTGGCCTGGGAAAGCAGTCGAGGACGGCCTAATGCTTTGGGACCCTGCACCCGCATGGGAGACCCGGAAGAAGTTCCTGGCTCCTTGCTCTGGATCTGCATAGCATCGGCCGTTGAGCTCATTTGGGGAGTGAATCATCAGAAGGAAGAGCTTCCTCTCTGTCTCTCCTCCTCTCTCTATATTTGACTTTCCAATAAATAAATAAATCTTAAAAAAAAAAAAAGGAAAAAAAGAAAGCAAAGAAAGACTAAATAGCTAAGTTATGGGAAAAGCACAGATGCAGCTGCATCTCAGGCAACCTGAATACTAACTAGTCCTTCTCATTAATCTTTTTATTTGGTTCTCTCCTACCTGCCTCTCTTTCAGTGTCTTCATTTTAATTTTTTTTTTTTTTTGCTACAAATTAATGTCCTTTACAATGTTTTCAGGAAGTCCAGGAACTCTGCCTGAGTCAGCAGGGTTAAAGGACCATGCTTAGATTTAGTTCAGAAAATTTTGAGAATAGCTCCTTATTGTCAGTGCAAAACAGATGCCTAACGAATTAATTAGCTGAAGGATAAAAGCAGGTCATGTACCTATGAAGTCAAATCGTTGGGATGGGGAAGCAGATGGAGTGTTGAGAAAGACAGGGAGGCAGCAAGGGAGAATATGGTAATTCTGTGATGATACCAGTTAAAGTGAGAACTGAAAGATGAAAACAAGTAGTATAAATGGAGTCAGGGTTATGGGACCTTGGACTTTACGTGGTGGCACCTTCTGACACCAAAAAACTGATGTTTAACTTCGGATGCCAATATTTTAAACATGGAAATGGGCCATCTGTAATGGGTGCAGCATAAGACAATCAGTAGTATGAATGTGACTTGTGTAAGGGCAATAGCAATCGGGGAGTTGATGAGTTTGAAAGGGAGAAGTTAGCTAAGAGAACTCAGTAGGCCCCAGTGACTTAGCAAGCAGATTTGCAGCGAATCCCAGGAAAACCTAGCATTTCCAGTCTGGAAAGATGACGGAGGTTGCATAAACAGGGAGCAAAGAGGAATTTAAATGGGGGGAAAATGGTCCTTTCGGCTTTAGATATATCAAATATGAGGTGCTGGTAAGTTATACCCTACAGTTGGATCTGCTCCAAGAGATTGGGAATGTGTGCGGGGGCCTACAGAGAAACTAGGTCACATTGTGGTTATTCCTACTTGAAACCAGAGACGAGAAAATGCTGGTTCTGGAGGCGACCTGCAGGTAGGGTTGTGGGAACTCAGGGAAGCAGGGAGGTGGGCCAAGTTCCAGAAGGTGAATCAGTATCTAGGGAAGCACAGCTGAATTTCAAGTCGGAATGGTGTAGAAGCTAGAGCAGCAGGAAGCAGAAGGCAGACTGTATAGTGAACTCTTTCGGAAACCAGGCTGTCAGGGGTTATAATTAATTCAAAGTCAACACGGTGACCCCAGTTCTTGTCAGCGCTCGGCTAGACGCCAGGGAGAAGAACAGCAGGATTGTGCACCCAGGCTCGCTGCGTCGCAGGGCAGGTGAGAAGGGGATGAACAACACACAATGCCTAAAGAGTGTGTCCACGTGGGGATCCACGCCGTCCCGGCGCAGGGGATGTCGCCCGAGCCTGGTGGGTCTGTAGGGATTCCTGGGTGCAACAGAGGGACAGGGGGTGGTGGTGGTCGAGAAGGCTCTAGTACTAACTAGAAAATGCAGGGGATGGAGTTTACAACCTGGAGGCAGGTTACAGGAAGGCGAAACAAGAAACTTCTCTAATCCTTTTCTCACACAGAGCAGAAAAGACCGGAAGGCGTGGTGCTCAGCCTTTCGGAAAAGGAGAGGACCGCAAGCCTCTGGCCTCCTGAGCACCCCAAGCCTCTGGCCGCCTGAGCAGCCCAAACCTCTGCCCGTCTGGCCCGGGGATCCTCGCTAACCTTCCTGTCCGTCTCCCGTTGGCCGGAACTCCAGTGTCCCACACCCTTAGTTGGATGCCGGAAGGGAAAAGCCAGAGGGACCGACTCGGGGAAGTAGCGAACCCGGCGGTGAAGAGGGGCGGACTCGCTGGCGGAAGTGTGGTTCTTCGGCTTGGGGACCGGCGGCCGCAGTCCGCTCGGACGTCCCGGGCGCGGAGGGCGCCTAGCCCTGTAAGTGAGGGGCTGGGCGGGCGGCCCCGGCGCCACACCCGGCTCCGCAGAGGCACCTCAGCTCCAGAGCCGCCGGCACCGCACCGCGCGTCTGTGGTTTGACTGATTGTGGGACCGCTCTCGGGGCTGCGGTGGGCAGTCGGAAAATACACTTAGGACGGTTCTCTGTCTCCTTCACTGTGTAAAGCTAACTTTCCAATATTAATAAAATAGATCTTTCAAAGAATATTTTCTGGAGACGTATGTACAGACTAATCCTCTGCCTGTAGTGCAGGCATCCCACATGGGGCACAGTTTTGTGTCCCACATGCTCCGTTACTTATCCAGTTCCCTGCTAATGTGCCCTGGGAAAGCAGCAGAGGGTGGCTGGTGTGCTTGGCCCTTGCCATCTACAAAGGAGACTCAGGAAATTTTATGGTTCCTGGCTTCGGCCTGGTCTAGTCCTGGTCATTGTGGCCATTTGAGGAGTGAACCAGTGGATGGAGGGTCTTTCTTATTCAAATTCTTGCTTTCAAATAAATATATTTTAAAGAGATTTATTTATTTTTATTGGAAAGGCAAATTTACAGAGGCTAGAGATCCTGCATCTACTAATTCACTTCCTAAATGACTGTAATAACGAGCTGAACTGATCCAAAGGCAGGAGCCAGGAGCTGCTTCTGAGTCTCCCGTGGGGGTGCAGCGACCCAAAGACCTGATATGTCCCCTGCTGGTTTTCAGCTGGGTCGGAAGTGGAGTGGCTAGGGCGCATGTCAGCACCTATATGGGATCCTGCCAATGAAGGTAGAAAATTAGCTTGCTCCGCCACCATGGTGGCCCATCAGATAAATAGAAAATTTAAAAGGATAAATTCTGGGGGAAATTGGTGAAGAATTGTAAGGGAAGTGCCATCGTTTTGAGAAAAATTCCTCTTGTGTTCAGATAAGGCATAGGGAGAGGAGATTATTCAGGGGGATGAATGAGGGGTTTGATGGTTACAGAGTATTTCCTGTGAATCAATAAGGCATGAGCAGGGAGTTTGTCAGACATGGAGTGGACCCTACTTCATGATACTTAATAATCGTGTGTTCCCAGGTGACTCATGGGCACCTAACACTTGAAAAACTATGTGCTGAGGGAATTACGGTAGTTCTGGCAAGAAGCAAGAAGTTCTAATCCAAGATCCCAACAAAAGTACAGAAATGTGATGTACCCCTTAAAAGTAGAAGCCAGGGCCCAGCGCAATGGCACAGTGGTTAAAGTCCTCGCCTTGCACGCCCGGGATCCCATAGGGGCGCCGGTTTTATCCTGGCAGCTCCAGTTCCCATCCAGCTCCCTGCCTGTGGCCTGGGAAGGCAGTCGAGGTCGGCCCAAAAGCTTTGGGACCCTGCACCCGTGTGGGAGACCTGGAAGAGGCTCCTGGCTTCGGATTGGCATAGCATTGGCCGTTTCGCTCACTTGGGGAGTGAATCAGTGGATGGAAGATCTTCCTCTCTGTCTCTTCTCTCTGTATATCCGCCTTTCCAATAAAAAAAAAAAAAAAAAGTAGAAGCCATACCAGGTGCCATCCTGGGATCTGGAGATGGCACCACAATTATTCCAGTGGGGTTGGCACTAGGTCCTGGGACAGGGTAAGTATAGGGCTAGGATACAGTCAGTTTATCGGGTGGCATTTGTTGGCTTACAAGTACAGGGATACTTGCAATAGGTCATGGAAATGTAATTATGAACGTAAGTACTAAGTATGTACTAAGTTGCCACTTGGGATACCTGCATCCTGTATTGAGTGCCAGTTAGAGTCCCAGCTCTTCAACTTCCAGTCTACCTTTCTGATTGTGCTGGGATGCCTGGGATGTAGCAGATGATGGCTCAGGTATTGGATCCCACACCATACCTCGGTTTTATTCAAATCCTCTAGCTTCACTGTGGCTCGGCCCTTCCAATACGGACATTTGGAAAGCAAATGAGTGGATAAATTTCTCTTCTGTCCTCCCTTTGTCTGTTTCTCTGGCTTTTCGGTAGATGAAAATAAGTAAGTATACAAAATAAGTTTATTTTGGTACAAAATTTAAAAATCCATGGGGAGTTTTCTCATGAATTTTCCATGAATAGTTTGAAAAGTTCTTAAATATATGAGTTTCAGATCTTTGTGCCAAAGTAAGCATTTATCTTTTAATTTTGTTTCCATGAATTTTTCCAGGTTACCTCATATTTTTTATGATTGGTGCATGGAGTGGGGTGTGGCTAGAGGTGAGGCTGGAGAAGCAAGCAGTAAACTGATCTGTTGAGTTGTAGACAGGGAGTCCTGAAGGGTTTGGCCAGAGGACAGAAAGGATCATTAATGCTGAGTGGGGGCATCAAGTAGGGTTAAGGACTGAGCTTGGAGGTGGTGAACAGAGTGCAGGGCTCCAGGAGAGGGGAGGAGCCTTCCAGCAGGATCATGACTTAGACTTCCAAGTGCTGTTTTGATATGGATGGACTCATAAGCAACTAAGGCAGATGAGTTGCATTGTTGAAGGTTAGTCATTTTGAGGCTTAGTTTTTCTTCATAGCCTGCTTCTGGCTAGTGTATAGGCCTTTGTCACTCTTGCTGTCTCGGGCTGGGACAGAAGAGAAAAAAGCTGACATTGCATGTTTTTTTCCTCCCAGAGAATGCTGTGGTGGATGGTAGAGTCTTCCGGGTTCTGCCAGCATTCATTAGCTGTTGCCAATAAAGGAAACCTTGTTAGGTTAGAACTATAGAAGTTATATTGTTTTGGTTTGCCTTTTTTTTGTTTTTAAAGATTTTATTTTTATTGAAAAGGCGAATTTACAGAGAAAGAAAGATCTTACATCTGCTGATTTACTCCCCAAATGGCTACAGCAGCCAGAGCTGAACCAATCTGAAGTCAGGAGCCAGGAACTTCTTCAGGTCTCCCATGGGGATGCAGGATCCAAGACTTTTGGCCATCCTCTACTGCTTTCTCAGGCTGGAGATGAGCTTATCTGAGGCCAAAAGCCAGGAGCTTCTTCTGGGTTTCCGATGCAGGTGCAAGGTCCCAAAAGGCTTTGGACCATCCTCAACTGCTTTCTCAGGCCACAAGCAGGAAACTGGGTGGGAAGTGGAGCAGCTGGGACACAAATCAGTGTCCATATGGGATCCTGGTGCACATTTTAGGCACTAGACCACCCAGTTGGGCCCTTTCATATTCATTTTTATTGGAAAGGCAAATCAGATTTACAGAGATAAGGAAAGAAGGAGTAAGATCTTTTATCTGCTAGTTTACTCCCTGTTGGCCGCAATGGCCAGAGCTGAACCTATCTGAAGCCAGGAGCCAAGTGCTTCTGCTGTGTCTCTCATGTGGGTGCAGGATCCCAAGCCTTTGGGCCGTCTTCTACTGCCTTCCCAGGACATGAGCAGGGAGCTGGCTGGAACGTGGAGCAGCCGGGACACAAACTGGCACCCATATGGGATGCTGCTGCTAGGAGGTGGAGCATTAGCCAATTGAACCATTGCATTGGCCCCACGCCATATGGAGGCTTTTGGGGTTGTTTTTCACTTGCATAAGATAGTGCTCAACTCGTAGTAGGTACTGGATAAGTGTTCATAAAGTTAGAAAATAAGTTCATGACCTTTACAATGCAACAATGCATGAATTTTGCTGAACTTACAGTTGTGATACCTTCAGTTCTGCACTGGTAACTCTTCAATATCTCTTTTCTTCTAGGTGGAATTGAACTGCTTGACACTTCATTTCCTGATAGACCGGGAGAAATTAACAATTGGGACTTTTCCTTATCATGGCTTGGTTTCCCAAATTGCTTAAAGGCACTTTTATTCTCAGAAAATACCCAAAGTACAGGGTTGCCTCGTCTTGTATTTGCTTTGCAGACTATTGTTCGGGTACTCTCCCAAAGCCAGTGTCTGCTGCTGGGAAAGCCTCCCAGCTGGGAACAGCTCAAGGGGACTTGCAAGGACATCAGCAGAAAGAAACTGGTGTGAGTGTGCCTTCTCCCGAGGAGACACCCCAAGTTAGCTTTGATCAAGCCATTGCAGAAGAAGTCAAGGACCATCTTAGGCATTTAAAGGATGAAATTGTGAGCCATTGGATAGGACCAGAAGGCCGGCCGCTGCATGAAGTCTTGATGGAACAAGCCAAGGTCATCTGGCGGTTTCGTGGAAAAGAAGATTTGGCTAAGTGGACAGTGACTTCTGATAAGACGATAGGAGGCAGAAGTGAAGTGTTCTTGAAAATGGGCAAGAATAACCAGAGTGCTCTGCTCTATGGCACGCTGAGCTCCCAGGCCCCTCAGGATGGTGAAAGTAGCCGTGGCGGCTACTGTGCCATGATGTCCAAGGTGCCCAGGGTAAGTGGGGCCCCACCCAGTCTTTGAAGGAACTTCACTGTTGTGCACGCTAGCACAGACAGCTGTATTTCTGTATGATGATACCCAGTGTAATGTACATGGGCATCTCCCTGTGTTGGGGATAGCTACTTATTGTAAAGTCTGGGAAGAAGGTGGATAAAAGTCTGGGTGGGAGTGGGGCAGTGGCTCAATGACTAAATCCCTTGCAAGCACAGGGATCCCATTTGGCACGGATTTGTAGCCTAGTTGCTCCACTTTGCATCTAGCTCGCTGCTTGTGGCCTGATAAAGCAGTAGAAGACAGCCCAAGGTCTTGGGACCCTGTACTCAGTTGGAAGATCTGTAACTCCCCTCAAACACTGAATAACCATTGTGTTGCTGTCCTCCATCCATTTATTTTAATTCAACCCCAGGATACTTTTTGTTGCTGTTGTTTTCTTTTCTTTTTCTTTTTTTTTTGTTTCGTTCTCAGTATATTTTATATTTTAAAGATTTGCTTATTTTTATTTGAGTGGGAGAGTTTAAGAGAGTAAAAGGAATCTTCCATCCATTGGTTCACTGCCCTAAATGGGCCTGTCTGAAGCCAGGAACCTTGTTTGAGGTCTCCTGTGGGATATTGGGTCTCAAGGCTTAGGGCTTTCCTCCCCTACTTTGCCAGGCCATAAGCAAGGAGTTGGATCAGAAGTGGAGCAGGTGGAACACAAACTAGAGCACCAGTTTACATGAAATAAATACGGATGAGCCCTTGTCCCTGTGAACACTGTGGGATTGACATTACCTTAGAAGTATTTTCCTGTGTCAATCTTTTATATCAAAACTCTTATCAGTTTTACATTGCCTCCTTATGGTGGGAGAAAGAAGAGTGGGTAGCAGATTCTTTTTGATGACGCTGACTGTGTGACGATTCATAATTTGCTGATGGTGGAGAATGAGGGGAAACTAACTTTTCTGTGTCTTAGGGCTTCTTGGAGAGGAAGAAATTCTATGATTGGTCCCAGTTCAACACCCTGTATCTCCGAGTCCGTGGGGATGGCCGACCTTGGATGGTGAATATCAAGCAGGATACGGATTTAGTGCAGAGGAGCAATCAGATGTACAGTTACTTCATGTTCACGCGTGGGGGCCCCTACTGGCAGGACGTCAAGGTAATGGCGCAGCCTTTCCTGGCTGTGGAAGGGAACTCTGGGAGATTCTGGTTGCTTTGTCCTTGGTTTTTTCTTACTTGGTCCTGCTGGGAAGGTGGAGTAGGTTGTGTGAAAAGAAATCAACTTTGATAAGTGACCTTTCATTAACACAAATGATAGCTTACAAGCCAGTAGGTGTTTTAGATATAAATATAGGCACACTTAATATAAGATTCCCTAAAGCATGCTCACTTGACTCATGATAACCATCGCATTATTTATTTATTTATTTATCAGTACTACTACCGGAAAGCAGACTTATTTCAATGGGAAAATGAAACTAGAAAGTAAGCTATGTTAACTGAAGGAAACTAAGAGGAAATGTTGAGAATGAGGGTGAAAGCAAGTGCTGTTCTTTGATTCTGCCTACTGAAGGCTTTTCTCCACCAACTCCAAGACTAGTACCCACCCTGCTCATGTCACGGACTTTGTTTCGTGCTGAATTCCTCTAACCTCACATATGAACTGTCAGCAGGTTTCAGGCCCCTCTACATCTGGAATCTGTTTCTAGCTGTCTCTTCTTCTTTTTTTTTAATGAGTTGTTTTATTTTTTTTCGAAATTTTTTGGTGTTTACAAAGTTGATTAGTGTGGGAAGGTCAGGGATTACAGGAAAGTGGGTGAGACAATTGTTTCCAAATTTTTTTTCTTCTTCCTGTATCTGGGGGAAGAGGGCAGAAAAGGGGAGAAACTACACCCAGCCATCCAAGTGCCACAGGATTCAGGTGTTGGGAATGGCCGCCCACTGTCATCCCAGGGTCCTCGAAGTGGAGCACGCACCAAGGGTTCTGCTCAAGTGGTTTTGGTAGTTCTAAAATGCTGTTGATCTTGTCAATCCAAGGATGAGGAAATCATTCCACGGTTCTTTGACTGATGTAGTTCACCCATTTGCCCAGATATTTGCTACCAATGCTAGCTGGGGGAGTTGACCAATTTGTTCTGCTCCCCTTTTTCTGCTCTGGTACCAGCGTTCTCTGCAGATTCCAGTGGACTGCCATATCCTCCATGTGCATCTGGGTATGCCGTTCACTGCTCTATCTTAGCCACTAGAGAGATCCAGTTCTGACGCATGCACTCTATGCTCAGATCCTGTAATTCTTCCCATTGTTGGAGTTCTGAGTCCAGTGTTTCAGTTGGGGGGATCCCCAAAGTAACTTTGTCTGAAGTGATCCCAGACCTCACTATTCTGTGTGCTTGCTAGCTTGGGGTCAAGTTCTATCACCCACATCAGTCTACACACACACTGGTAATTGGAATTGCTGGGTCAGTTCTGTGTCCTGCCCCGGCTCTTACAAAAGCCAATCAGTGCTGTGGCCCAGCCTAACACCGCCCACCACTCACCACCAGTGAGTGCACTCATATACACCAGTGGGAGCTGCAGCCTAGTCGGAGCAACTCCTAAAACCCTCACCAGGCCGGCCCCAGCCCTGGTTCCTATGCTTGCCAGTATGTGCAGCACTGGTCCAGTCTGTCTCACATCCCATTTGGTTCTTGTACACGTCAGTAGGCATTGAAGCCTAGCTCATCGCAACTGACCCCAGTATCCAGCCTGGTTCTCATGCTCACCAGTAGGAGTTGCAACCCTTCAGAGAATTTGCCACAGTTCCCCTACTGGGTCCGCTCACAGATGCGCCACATCTTGCACTCTCCAGGTGGTTCTGCGGTCTAGCTTGACAGGATTTGCTCTCAGTACCAGCACTTGCCAGCTGATACTGTGGGAATTCCCAACCAGCTTGCTCTTGCTTTGACCTCATGCACCAGTGGATGCAGTCGGCTACCCCAGTTTGGCTCTTTGAGGCCAGTTCACATGCAGGTCAATAGGTGTTATAGCCCTGCCTGGCTTGGTCTGCCCTTGATCCCAGTTCTGTTCCCAGTTCTGATGCTGTCCAGTGGGAGCAGTGCCCCCGTAGCCTCTCTGCCCCATATCTCGCATGTGCTGTTTGGTGCTACAACCCAGGATGGCATCACCTGCCTCACCTTGTCTTTCCATCTCTTCTACTCTCGCCTCTCTTGGCAGTTTTATTATTGGTTTCTGGAGAGGACAGAGGGGCTGAAGGTTAAGTTGACTACCATTGTCAAATGGTGTAATACATCATGCTTATTGAATGACACCTGCAGAGAGCCAAAATGACAGTTTGCAGCTCTGGGTAACTAAACACGTGGAGGTTCTTGGAAGGTGGGATTTCTGTAAAAGACCTGGGAAATTCCATATCCCTTGTCCCATACCTAACTGCACCTCTTTTCCATGTTCATCCCCATCTTTATGCTGTCTTATAATAAATCAGTAATGTATTGCTCTGAGTTCTTTGAGTCGCTTTAGCAAATTAATTGAACTCAAGGAAGTAAATTGATCTATACCTATAGAGATAGAGAAATAAATTGACTGGAGGAGGGGGTCATGGAACTCTTGAGTTAGTGGGTCTGGCATGTTGGTGACATGCTGCTACTTGTGACTAATGTAAGGTCTGTCATTGGGGACAGAGCCCTCAGCTTGCGAGACCTGCTTGTCTCTGTAGAGTGGATCTTAATTGAAGAGGACACCCAGCTCGCCATACACTGGGTTGTGGTGTGGCTTTGTTCCATGTTCAGGTTCTCAAAAGGCTGTGCTGCTTTCTGGAGTCTCTAGGGAGCACTCTGTTTTCAAGGTCATGGTGGCCATTGGTCAGAGTGAGTGCCTTGTGATGGTAGAACTGAGGAAATCTTTGTGTCCCTGCTTGCCAGCAAGTTGAGGCCCTCCTGCTTGCAGCTCCCAGCAGGTGCCCATGTTCCTTGCTGCTAGCTACTGTCTGCCTTTTCCCTCATATAGAATATTCTAATCTCTCTCATCAGCCCCTTTTATGTACCCTATTGATTGTTAGTCTTGCAGTGGATGATGTTCTCAACTGACTTGGGAAACCTGCCTGGCAGAATCCCTTTGCAAAGGCATTGAGATTAGTATTTGTCTCAATTCCTGAAGGAAGGCACGTGTACACAAGGGGTTGAAAATCGGAATTCTGCCTATCCCAGTAGACTGCCCTCTAATGTAGTTGTGTGGATTTGCAATCCTGTGAATAATCAGGGAAATCCCTTTGTCTGTCAAGTTCTGCATAGTTTAATATTTATTTATTTTTATTAGAAAGGCAGATTTAGAGGAGCCACAAATATCTTTGATCCACTGAGCTGATCCGAAGCCAGGAACTTCTTCTGGGTCTTTCATGTAGCTGCAGGGTCCCAAGGCTCTGGGTTGTCCTCGATTGCTTTCCCAGGCCACAAGCAGGGAGCTGGATGGGAAGTGAAGCTGCAGGGATATAAATAGGTGCCAAAATAGGATCACAGCTTGTAGTGGGAGGATTAGCCAATGGAGCCATCATGCTAGGCCCAGTTTTTTTATTACGCATTTTCAATTTCAATGAAGTTTCTGAATATCAAGAACAACTTTGGGCAAAACTTGAGCTGTTTTTTTCATCTTTTTTTTTCAGATTCCTTTTTCCAAATTTTTCTTCTCAAACCAAGGGAGAGTACGGGACGTGCAGCACCAGCTGCTTCTTGACAAGGTAACACTTCCCCACATTTCTGTCTCAGAGCTGTGTTGTCATCAGTGAGACACAACTCCCACGAGGGTGAGCTTGGCTCCTCCTGCACAGGGATGGAGACGCCTCTGTCGGGTCCTCCGGGGTCAGCCAGACAGGTGCTGGTGCAGGCCTGTTCTGTGAGTAAGCCCCACCCGAGGGATTTGAGTGATGATCTCTTCAACATACATTCTGTTGTGGCTTTAAAAGTTCAGGAAGATCCTCCTTAGATCTTCATGTTGTCCTTGCCTTTTTTTTTAAAGACTTATTTATTGAAAAGTCAGATTTACAGAGAAGATCTTCCGTCTGATGATTCACTGAAGTGACTGCAAAGACCTGAGCTGATCTAAAGCCAGGAGCCATGAGCTTCTAATCTGGGTCTCCCACATGGGTGCAGGGAGACAAGCAAGGCTTTGGGCCGTCCTCGACTACTTTCCCAGGCCACAAGCAGAGAGCTGGATGGGAAGTGGGGCCATTGGGTCATGAATTGTTACACATGGGATCCCAGTGTGTGCAAGGACCATACTTTGGCTACTAGGCTGCCATGCCGGGCTCTGTCCTTGTTATCTTAAATAACATTGCCCCAAAAGGAAAGGTATGGGAGCAAAATATCGAATGAAAAGCAGTCTTGTAATTGTGTAATTTGCTATAGTATGAGAACTGTTTCCTTGCCGAAGCCTGCTAGTGAGGATGCAATCACAGGAAGTGTGTCACGGGATTTCAAATAACATTGGAATAACATTGGCACATCAGTGTATGATGCTACAATCAAACTTCTCTTAAATTTAGATCTCTTCTATCGGATTCACCCTGGCTGACAAAGTGGATGGTCCATTCTTCCTGGAAATTGATTTTATTGGAGTGTTTACTGATCCAGCCCACACAGAAGAATTTGCCTATGAAAATTCTCCAGAGCTTAACCCAGGACTTTTTAAATAGAGTATTGTGTGCCAGTTTTGTGTTTGCTAAACTAAGCCTGTAACCATCAACAGTGATAAAGAAAAAGATAAATTATTTCTTGAAAGGCATCCAACCAGTGGCTGGTATGTATTCCCTGACGAGGCCGACTCTGTGGTTGAGAGGGACGAATTATGCTCTGTGCCCTGTGCTGTAGCTCATAGAATGCGAGTGCCAGTGCAGAGGTATTATGTCAGTAACTTACTTGTTAGCTGATTGCTTCCTTTTTTTTTTTTTTTTAAAGATTTGTTTACTTGAAAGAGATATGTGTAATGAGGAAGAACACAGAACTTCAAACTGCTTGTTCACTCCCTAGATGGTCACAGCAGCCAAGGCTCGGCCAAACCAAAGCCAGGAGCCAGGAACTTCATCTGGGTCTCCCACGTGTTTGGCAGGAGTCCAAATAATTGAGCTTCTGACACTTTTCTCAGGCCACAACCAGAGAGCAGAATGGGGAAGTGGAGCAACCAGGATGGTGCCCATATGGGTTCCCCTGGCACATGCAAGGCAAGGACTTAAACCACCAGGCTACTGTGTCATGCCCTAAAAATAAATCTCAAAAAATAAAAGTGGTTATACTCTTTTACATTCATAGAAATATATTGGACCCAGAGGCTTTTTTTTGAGTGATCAGCTTCTGTCTCTTGGTAGGAAAATATGAATTTTTCAAATTCTCAGGTACAGGCCATGTTCTGAACATATGCAAAATAAAGATAATAAAACCCAAGTGGTGTTATGCAAATACAAAGGAAAATATGCTTATTTTTTTGGAGGGGATGAGGAACGGTATACTCTTATTAATCTTAGTTGGTCAACTAAATCTTGAAAGACTTATGCTTAGAAAGGATAAATTAACATAATAAAAAATTTTATTTATGAAAGTCTTGAGTAGTATAAAACTCAAACTCTATTTGGAGGAAGAAATGAGGATATTATGTAAGCAACTCTTTTTCCATAAAATAAGATGCAAGGTTGACATAGAATGGTCACCCTCAAATCATAAGACCCTGTACCTTTTTAAATAAGCAAGGCTAGAACAGACTCAATAATAAATTGTTAACAGACGTTAAGTATATGCAGTGATCTGAACAAAGAGGCAAACAAACAAGATCCTTTCTAGTAAACACAGATACCATACTCATGCCCCTGGTCCACAAAGATGACTAGAGGAGGAAGACCACAGGATGAAGAGGCGGCCTTTCCACCCCAGCTCCCCAGCCAGCCGCTTTTGTCTGCTCTCATTCCACTGGAACTCATGCTGCCACTGGCTGCCCTCAGCTAGTGTGTTAGTAAGCAGACAAGCAGGTGGAACGTCCCATAAAGCATCTAAGACTCTCTGGGATAGGCTCTATTAGAAAACTGAATGGCCCGGAGTTTGGCTAAAAACCACTGCCCAAACCTGAGATTGAAGGTAGGACATCTTTTTCAGAGATACAACACACAAATTCCTGGATAGTACAGAGATTGTTGAGAGATGTTTTGAGTTAGAAGACAGTACAGAAATATTTACAAAAGGAAACAAATGCAAAATAAGGAATATTTACAGGATATGCAAAAATTATTAATCTTAAGCCATGCTGAGGCCCCGTCGTGCTTCCAAAACCTTCGCTTTCTTCTCCTTCCGCTCCTGTTCATGTTTCTGCCGGTGTTCTTCCCTAAGGGGGACAGGACACACATGAGGCTGCAGCAGGGTTCCCCAACACACACTTGCATACTCGACACGGCATGCTGGGTCAGACACTTCTAGGGGTTCTAACTCTGTTAGCCTTTGGGCTACAAAGGGCTAGCAATGGGTGTTTTCATTTGACATTAACTCAGCTTTCTAAGTACATGCATTGAACTGGCACCAGAGGCATACTGGTGATTGGATTCAAGTTGTATACTTCAAAAATGTGTTTTAATTTTGAATCTCTACTGTTGGAAGTCAAGTCAAAGGTAGGTGCAAAATCAAGTAGTCCAGAGAAACAGCTAGAACTAGAATAATTCCCCAGGGGGAAAAAAAAACCTCAGGATCGTATTAACTTGTCTTACAAGCAAGTGCTGTTTAAAGGCCTTGGTGGCAGTGGGACACAGGCAAGAGGCAAGCCTGTTTGAAGAGAAGAGGCTCCTCACAGGGTGTCTGAACTCACCATGACCAGCTGCAGCCCAGAATGAGCTCTGGCTTTACTCGGTCTGGATGCTGAGGACAAGTCTGGGTTTCTAATCTGAGGGCAGCCTTCATGTCCCCTGAACCCTTCTTTAGGACTTGACAGCTACGTGCAGTCAGAGTCCCTGGGCACTTGAGCACAGTGTCTGGAGGAACTTTGTGATGCAGAAGCTGAACTTGGTTTGGATCTTGTGAATTACAGCAGCACCTTGGAAACACTGCTGCTGCTTGGGCTTTACCCAAACCTGATTAGTAGTCTACTGCACTGGAGCCTGGGCAGTAATTAGTTCTATAACTGATTTCAGGCTATAGTTTGCTCCCCATGGTTCAAATGCTGGAAGTTAATGTTGACAATGTACTGAGAAGTGGTGGAACCTTAAAAGGGCAGGGACCAGCAAGAGGAAATTAGGCGACAGGGGCCTCACCATCTTGTGGGAACAGGGTAGCTGTAGCAGGACAGTCAGTCACCTCAGCTGTGGCACACTGTAAAGGACAGTCACCCATCTGCTCTCCAAAGTGTTCCCACACCGTGAGGTCATCTATGGCATGGCCCGTCATGAGACTCTCACCAAAGGTCGCCTCATCTCGGGTTCCAGAACCATGAATCAAAGGAAACCACCTTTATTTTTAAAGTACGTAATTGTGGGTTTTTTTCACACAAGTATGCTGACATAAACCTCTTTCCCCTTCTGCTGTGACTTGCCATTGCAGGAATACTGGTTTTGTGCAGTCTTTAGAAATGAGAAGAATGGTAGAAGTGCATAACCGGGGACTTACCTGGTCTGAAGATGTGGTTGTTTATAAGTTTTCTTGTGGAAGCTAACTCTGTTTCCACATTCACTCAGAGATTTATTTTCTTTAGCTTGGCCCCATGGTTTCAGCTTCCCTAATTTAAGACAGAGACAACAATTTTATACATTCTTTTATTTATAATCCCAGCTTTATTTTCTTCAGCTGTGGCTGCCTGTTAACATTTATACTTATAATTTCAGTCTTCTGCAAAGTAATTTAACTTCACATTCCACAAATGTTGTCCTCTTTGATTGTTGGAAAAAATCACAGGAAAGAAAACTGACAGCATAGATAGTGTGCTTAAGGTAATCTTTCATTTGTGTCATTACTGTTACTTTTTAAATGTACTTGGTAATGGACTAATGGGAATATTTTGTTGGCATCAGAACTGGGACCAGATTTAACCATCTAATCTTTTGGAGTTTACTCAAAAGATTTGACACTAGTTTGTCAAAGAGATGTTTGTGTTCACTGTCAATATTCACAAAAGCCAAGACGGAATCAGCCTAAGTGTCCACCAATGGCTGAACAGATAGAGTGCAGTACATTTAGACTTACACAGTGGAACACTATGCACCCTTCAAAAGGAAGGAAATCCTATCATTTGCAATAGCATGGATGCAATTAGAGAACACTGTGTTAGGCAAAATACCAGGAATGGAACAATTACTGCATTCTTCTCATGTAGCAAATAAGCAAAATGGTGGCGTGCACAGAAGCAGAGGACTTACAGTCACTGTATCATTCAGGTCTTCTAAAAACCTGTGAGCTAACTGTAGCTTGCATAAAACAGAAGGAACCAAGTGGAGTGTTTAGGATATATAAGAAATAGAAGCACAGAAGGAGCTCAAATCAAGGTTTTCTAGTGACAGTGGCAGTCAGTGGTGGGTCAGAGTTGTGCTTGTATTAGATGCTTTGGGAGCAGCTGAAAGGAGATGCAGATGACATCACAGTGCACCAACAGTCACAATTCCATGCTCTAGGGTTTCCTCACAGCAGCAAACTCTAATAATGTGACATCTGGTGGTTACAAAGGTGCCATGAAGAAGTGTCAAAGAAAGAGTAAAGAGTGGGGGCGGGGAGGGGAGCCAAGATCTGAGATGGACACAGTTGAGGGGACACCTCATAAGAAGCAGAGTGCCAGCTCCATGTGGTCAGTGGGAAGAGTCCTGTGGGCTGAAGAGGAGAGCCGTTCAAAGACCGTAATTGAGAATGAATTCACAGGAGCCCACACGAAGGAGTGTGTGTGGCAGGAGTGTAGTCAGGGCGGAAGCAATGGTGAAATAAAGGAATCTTGGAAAATTGTGAGCAAGACAGTGGCATGCTCTGCCTTGTGGAGCAGAGCAGGAAGCAAGCATATTGGCGACCTGGAAGAGGAGGCTGCAGTAGAGGAGTGAAACGGATCACAGTAGAGACCCATGAGCGAGGGGAGCTGGGGAGGCAGCATTACAATTAGGGCTGTATCTCACCCTGAACAACTGGGTAGCTGGGCAGCCCAGGCCACAGATGAGCCTATGTGCAGGACTCCCTTCTAAACCACAGCTTAGCTGACTCTTTAAGATTTGTTAAGAGAAAAACACAGTGGGGAAAGACTGTAAATCTGTCTTTCCAATAAAATAAATCTTTATTTACAGTGGGGAAAGACAAAGATCTTGCATCCACTGGTTCATTCTCAAAGGGCTGCAATAGGCAAAGCTGAGCCAATCAAGAGAGCCAGGAGCGTCTTCCAGGTCCCCCATGCGGGTGCAGGATCCCAAAGCTTTGGGCTGTCCTCAACTGCTTTCCCAGGCCACAGGCAGGGAGCTAGATGGGAAGTGGGGTCACTTGGATTAGAACCGGAGCCCATATGGGATCCCGGCACATTCAAGGAGAGAACTTCAGCCACTATGTTATCACACTGCCCGCCTCCCGCACGCCCCCCCTCCTGCCTTTTTAAGATTTATTTATTTTCAGGCCCGGCGCAGTGGCGCAGTGGTTACGCCTTGCACGCCTGGGATCCCATATGGGCGCTGGTTCTAATCCCGGCGGCCCGCTTCCCATCCAGCTCCCTGCCTGTGGCCGGGGAAAGCAGTCGAGGACAGCCCAAAGCTTTGGAGCCCTGCGCCCACGTGGGAGACCTGGAAGAGGCTCCTGGCTTTGGATTGGCACAGCTCCAGCCGTTGCGGCCGCCTGGGGAGTGAATCAGTGGACAGAAGATCTTCCTCTCTGTCTCTCTTCCTCTCTGTATATCTGCCTTTCCAATAAAAATAAAATCTTAAAAAAAAAAAAAGGCCAGAAAGAGGGAAGGGGAAGTGGAGAGACAGAGAGCTCGTCTACCTGCTGGTTCACTTCTCAAGGCCACATCAGCCATGACTGGGCTTGGCCTGAGGCTAGGAGCCTGTAATTCCATCTAGGTCTTCCTCATGGGTGGCAGAGACCCAAGTCCATGAGCCATCATAGGCTGCTTCCCGAAGCACACATCAGCAGAACGCTGGATTGGAAGTGGAGTAGCCAATATTCCAAACCAGGTACTAACTCTTTGAAGACCCCTCATATGCATGGATTTCAAGTTTTTGCTAAAATAAATGTTGCTTTTAAAATAAATATTGAAGTACCTTCCCACTGGTTAGGAATTAAACCTTCCAAACGTGAGGGATTTGTTATTTGTTTCATGGATGCTCTGAAATCCTGCAGCAGAGGAAGCAAAGGCAGAGAAAGCCTCCTGGGTAAGTGCAGCCTCCACGGCGTTTCTGACGTTCCACACCTTCAGGCTCTTTAATCCTAAATTGTTTAGTTTACCAGCCATCCCTCTACATGCCTCCACATACCTTTGTGCGGCTCATAATTGAGAGGCCGAGATAGACTTGCTTTGAGATCAAACACAGGTTTCTTATTGGAGAATGGAGTCTGCATTGCCGTAGTTGTTGACTTGAGTGGCGTAATAACTGAAAAGAAACAAAGCCAGTCAGAGAAGATGAAGAAAAAATGGAACTCCCCAAATACTTGGTTATGGCATTTCCTTGGATCAGCCAGGAGTCTGGAATCCTGTGTGAAGACACAGCAGTCTCTGTGATGGCTGATGACAGATACAAAGATTGGCAGCTCTGGCTGCTTGTTTGGGCGGGCTGTTAACATAAAGATGGCAGATGCTGTGCTATAATCAGGATGGTGCAGCTGGGCAGCCTGTCTCTGGCACACTTTGTAAGCCTTTCCCCTCATAGCAGGAGCCGGGCACCTGCACTGAGGGCACTGCAGACGTTAACGCTGTTGTTAGCCACAGTCTAGGATCTCTTGGCCAAACAGAAAAACGCAAGCCCTGGTCGTTGACACTGCCCCTGGTCAGTGTGACGGGCTGGCAGGAGTGGGACAA